TTCCAGGAACCAAGAGAAAAAGGGTACCAGCAAGAACCTCTTTGCTTGATTGATGTGATGCTAGTTTTGCACTCGTTATGCAACAAGGAGAACAGTTTTGCACTCGTTATGCAACAAGGAGAACATTCTGAATCTGTACATATCTCTCATGCTTTCTTTAAAAAAAAAAAAAAAAAAAAAAAAAAAAAAAAAAAAAAAAGAACCAGCAGGTCAGGAAGTGGTTCTGAAACAGATTGAAGAACCATGAGAATATGCTTAGTAAGATAATGCGATTGGTTCAAGTAGAGCATGATGACAAGGTTGAGTGGGATGAAGAGGAACCAGATAATGATGCAGAAGATGTTGCAAAGTTCGAGGAGGAGGAAGGGAACGAGAATGATGATGAGGAGTGATGCTGTTTCTGTTCTTGTTTCCTCACCCTCATGTTTATTCTAAAATAACTGATTTTGTTGGTCTGTCTACTTCTCTCCATTCCATGAACTTTCTTTTTGGATGGATTTGGGCTTCTTTGGTTGAACTTTGTTGGCTTGTATGAACTACTAACTCTGCTATGGTATGAACTGTTTGACTAATCTCTTTTTGCAGCATAATGCTTGAATGGTGGTTGATGCCATTGTATGGATAAGCACATTAACTTGTGCACATTGCTTTTACTTGTGGATACTTTTTAATGATGCCAAAAGGGGGAAGTAGTCTGAAGTTGAAGCCTAAGGTTTAGCTAGTTTAGATTGAGTCAGTTTGAGTCTTTTTATTTCGTATTTTCTATTTTATGTTTAGGGAACCAGTTGGCCTAACTGACTTGTTCCAAAGAGTCTTGAGTCCTTGTCTTGAGTCCTTGAAGTTTTTGACGGTTTTCCTTTTGAGCATGTTCACAGGTTCAGGAACTTCAAAAGTTTGTCATCATCAAAAAGGGGGAATTTGTTGAGTCCCTTAGGTTTTGATTGATAGTTTTGAATGATGACAAACAGCTAAGGGAAACAGTTCCTTGAAAGTGTTCGATACAGTTGGGGGAACCAGCTAACATAGAACACTGTTTCCCCAGACAAGTTATTACTTACATGAGTTTTCTTATTGAACTAACTTGTCTTTATACAGGGAACAGTTATATGATAAAAGTGTTATGTACTGGTAGGGAACCAGTATGTAATGTTTCCATGGTTGCTACGTGGTAAAGCAGTCACATACTCTTTATTGTGCATTAACCATGTTACATGTGCAGTAGTTGAGTTGATTCCAAGACTTGGAGCATAGAAGCCTTTCGAAGATATTTCGAAGAAAGATTGTTTGCTCATAATAGAAGTATTCAAGGAAGATTCAAGTCTTGAAGATTACATGAAGAAAAGACGATTTATGCTTTAATATGTTATCTAGGTTTTCATGTAATATGCTCCGTAGTATGCTTGCATGTTTGGGTTATATAAGTGCTTAAAAGTATATTGAAGTATGATATGAAATCTGGTACAAAGTTGGAACAGGTTTCATAACATGTTTCAATTCAGGGAACCAGGTCGGGGAACCAGGTTCACTGTATTCGAGCTGCCGTTTTGGAAAAAGATTTTACAAAAAGATTTTTTCGAAAAGATTATTTTGAAAATATTTTGTGCAGCTGGAAATAAGATGAAATATTCTTGGTTACCTAAAAACTAGGAGTATTTATCTTAATTGATTCTATCTTTGTGATTAAATCAAATAAGATAAAAACTTTCCTAAAATTACATTATATCTTATTCTCTAAGATTGTGTGATTTAAGGAAACTAGGTTTTAGGAATCTAAGCTTATATAAACTCATCTTATTTCACATATTTCGTGTGCCTCTCCAGAAATTAAAAGAGCAATTATTTGAGAGCATATACTTAAGCACTAATCCCATTCATCAAGTCATATACAAGAGCATTCTAGTACTTAAACTTTTTCTCTTAATTAGCTTCGTAGAAGTGAGATCAAAGGGGAGTTCTTGATTCTTGTATTGAGTCTTTAACAAAGGGGTTAAAGGCTGGGTGAGTGTTTGTGAGTTCAAACACATTGGGCTTACGAGTGTAAGTCGAGAGCACACTCGGAGTAGAGTGTGGGGTTTGCTGGTTCCCGGAGTAGGGAACAGCAGAGTGTTCTTTGTCTTTGTTTTTCGGAGTAGATCAATAAAGAACTTAGGATAGGAGGACGTAGGCCTGAGTTGGCTGAACCTCGTTAAATTTGTTGTGTTCTTTATTGCTTTGTTTCGTTAAATTTGTTGTCTTCTTTATTGCTTATTTATATTCCGCTGCGTACGGGAACCAGCACAACTGGTTCCTCACACATAATCCGAAAAGAAGCAAAATTAGCCAACGATTACTTAACACTCAATTCACCCCCCCCTCTTGAGTGCCCATTGAACCTTCATTACCATTTTCTGCTGATGTTCAAAAACTCTTTTGGTCAGATTACATGTACAATTGTTACATGTGCAATATGGCAACGGTTGAGCTTCATCAATTGCATCCCAAATAGACTTGATACCAGTAAAAAACTCAGAAACAGACTGGGATCCTTGAGAAATTTCTGCTAACTTCTGTTCAAGTGCATAGATTTGAGCAAGAGAAGTGTATCCAAAATGCTCCTCAAGATCTAACCAAATATCTCTAGAAGATTTCATGAACATAACACTACTAGCTATGCTCTCCTCCAGATTAAACAAAATCCAAGAACACACCAAATCATTACACCTCTCCCAGGCCTTGTATTCCTCACTTGTAACATCTGTAGGCCTAACATATGCACCATTAACAAAACCTGCTTTGTTTTTGGCTGAGAGAGTCAACAGCATAGCACGTTTCCAGCTAGTAAATCCATCACCTCCAAACTTAAATGATACTAACTGAATCGAATTAGCATCTGAAGGATGTATATAGTATATGCTAGCAGGAATTTGATTCAAAGGAAGAACAACATTGTTCAAATTTCCAGCCATTTCAAGAGATTTAAGAAGAAATTGGAGGATCTAGGTTAACCTAATGTCTCAGCAACAAATTGAACACAAAATTCTGATCAAATCTTCAAAATACAAAATGAAATTCTCAGCAGAAACAAGATCAAAATCAACAGAACAGTCGATCATACAACATCAGCAAAAGAAACAGGACAAAATCAAGTAGAAAATCTCACGTTGAAATCTGAACGAAAACTTACTTCAACTTAATCTGAAACAATCGAAACAATCAAAGAAACTTGCGGAAAAATCAGAAACTACCAGGAGAACTTTAGCTCTGATACCATGATGAATTTCAGAGAAGCCATTGAAATCTGCTAAAGCTTGAAGATGAACTCAGAGCTAAATAAACTTTCAGAGAAACTTTTTATTGATTTTGTATATTTGTAAAAATGAATACAAATTAGGGACTCAACCCATATATATAGAAAAGAACAATAAAGAGAGAGTTTGTTATTACAATAACAAACTCTGTAACAAACTTTTGCCACGTCGGAAGATTACATGGCAAGAATAATAACAAACTAATTCTATAACATTCTAGAAATTGTTCTGTAACTTGACTCCCCTGTGTGCAGCTGTGGCTTGCTTGAGCTTACTCTCATGCTGACTGCTACACTACAAGAAAAAAGGTCAAAGAGAGCGACTTTAATCGGTCAAGGAGGGCGAGTTATAGTTTGTCTTGTTAGTTGCTATCAATGAGGGCAAAATTATAATTGCCCTTTTATTACAGAGCAAAGAGGGCGAAATTTACTTTTGTCTTTCTATTTCAAAGCAAGGAGGGCGAATTTAGTTTTCGTCCTATATATCAGAACAAAGAGGGCGGAATTTTAGTTTTGCCCTCTAATTTTAGAGCAAAGAGGGCGAAATATTTGTAAAAATGAATACAAATCAGTGTAATTGTAAGAAATTATGATTATTCTGCCGAATTGTGATTTTTTCGGTGATGTAGCATTGGCATTTTTCCTATCTAATTTAGAAATGGGGCAGATTTCCTCAAAATTATAAACAAAATGGCACTAATTGATATTGTAAAGAATAAGAAATTTAGAGGATCGATAAATAATTTGAAGTTTGATTGGGAAATCTGGATTAAGAAAATCTCTTTAAATGTAAAATAAGGTATGTGATTCGATTTGATTATTATATATGGTTAATAGAATCAATAAACCTTGAGCATTCTAAAGTGCTGAATTGCAGGACAAATTATGCGAAGTATATTCTGAATTTTCGACATAACATAACCAAAGTACAAATGTATAAACTGATAAAAAAAGAAGCAACTGAAGAAATCTTGATTTTATTCCCTATAGTGCTAGGCCAAGCTCAAACTTGAAGATTTTGCTTTCTTAGATTAACCTTTGCCTTTTAGAATCGTCGCCTTTTGATACAATATCAGTGAATCGTAGGTAGTATCTTTGACATGTAGGAGGCCTAGGAGCAGTACATTTGTGAAGCTCATGTTGTTTTCATCTATGAGTAAGCATCTATGACAGTTTTGAGTACGATCATATGATGTTTTGGTGCAAATATTGGAGCTTAATTCTTTTACTCTGTATTATCTATAGTAATAACAGTTTCCATTAATTTTCAACCTGAATTTGGCCATTCGACCAAGCTTATATTATTGTACAGGAAATTAGGATCAATTCAATAATGTTAAGTACACTACTGTCATTTTCTAAATTGATTGTTCAGGAATGATGTTGAAGATATTCTAGTTACTATTGTTGTTGTTATTGATGCTGGTTATGTCGTCCATGTATTTCTAGTTACTATTGATGTTTTTGTATTTCTAGTTAATGTTCTAGTTTCTGAATAGCTGTATGTTTTTGTAATTGCTATCAAGTTTATACATTGTTCCCAACTCTTGCACCAATGATTTTCAGCATTTTATTATTTCACCAATGGTTTATTATTTCCTGAAGGGAAATATCAGTAGCTGGTTAGCTTTTATTTGCTTAATAAAGAATGCACATGAACATCATTTCTGGTGGTTACATCAGATGATCTTCTGGCCCACATTTCTGGTTCTGTTGCTCTGATTATTATTGTTTCCTAAATGGATTGATCTTGCTGAAATTAATAAGTGTATATATGTGATTTGATAGGAACTTGAGGCACAAGCTTGTGAAAATGAGAATGAGGTCATCGAAATCAATGGTTCTAGTTTAAATGTAACCACCTCATCCCAAGCTAATGATGATCCCATGTATTTAAAGTTATGGGAGAAGTCAAAGAGGTATATTGAATATTTGTCTAATGCACGAACGCTTTGTTTTTCTTTATTTTAAAATTCTGACTTTGTTTTATCTTGTAAGGCATAAAAATGGGAAGTTTGACGATGAGGCCGAGGAGAAGTCATGGAGTGTGATACTTGATAGAGGTAATATTTTCAAGCTCACTCTTTGCATAAAATTGCCTTTTGGATGAATTTTCAAGTGATACCTTGTTAAGACTTGTGCTTTCCCGGAGTGTGTGGTATTTGTTTATCCTTGATTGCTGGATTTTAATTGCTATTTTGTGTTGGTTCTGTTTATGTGAAGTGGTGATGGTTGTTAATAGGTGGTTCAAGACTATAGCTATATAGATGTTTGGTAATTTGAAATGTATTTTTTTTGTTTTGGTTCTGTTTTGTGTATTAAACCATTTTAGGTGGTTCTGTTCTGTGTATTGAACCATATATGGTAACTAAGCACCCAGTATCACAATTGGAGGTTAAGGAGCCTTGTGAATTCAGTAACTGCTTGATCTCCAGAAGGCATATATTTTTGAGGTTATAATTACCACTCCTAAGGAATGGTATATCGGTTTGTGCATCAGAACTTCAGTCTACCCCTTAATCCTACTTTTACAGCCGCCCTATCTTGTTGGATGTTAGTAAGAGTGGTATGTTGTAGTGATATTTATTTCTTTTATTTTCAAATTTTATAAAGACAACTGTTATCAGGCATTTAGTTGCTTCTGCTGGTATTATTTTCAAATTGTAGGCTCCTCTTAATTGATAAAATTCTCATGATATAATATGTTTCAGTGCTCGTGTAGCAGACTACCTTTTGCAAGCATCTCTGTTTTGTCTAATAGCTGTTGGATCACTATGGTTATATTGCGTAAAATGCCAGTCTTGCAGTTTTGTTTGTGATTAGAGACCATGTTTGAGCTCTTGATGTTGAATAATTGTTTTAATAACCTTTATTTTGATGTTGCATTTTGCTACACTATCTTAGATACCTAATCATGTAGCAATCAAGATTGCTTTGGAACTTAAAAAGCTGCTTATCGACAACAGCCTGCTTGATGTGTATGTCATCAGTTGGTTTTTGCTTTAAATGATCTGTATTGTAGCAATGTAATACTCTAGTGTTTCTTTATTAATTTACATTAGTCTTGTTTTTGTCAAGTTTGCAGTTAGGGGATCAAGTCAATGTTTTGGGGATGGAGGACACCAAAAGGCTGGTTGCAAGGATGAGAAGATTGCTTGATAGACAACTTGGTTAATACTTTTGTATATATTTGGTATTAAATATTATTAAATATTTGCTATTATAGAAAACTTGGTTAATACTTTTGTATATATAATGACAAAATTAAAATTTATGCCTATTAGCATCTATTATAGAAAATTTATGCCTATTAGCACCTAGAATTATTTTTTTAAAAAAAAAAAAAATTGAACAAAGAGGGCGACTTTGATTTTGCCCTTTTAAAATATGATCAAATAGGGCAAATTTTGAGCAAGGAGGGCAATATGAATTGACTTGTTTGAGTTGATTACACAGGGCAAAAAACCTTTTCGTCTTGCTTGATTCAATCAAAAAGGGCGAAAATTTTGCCCTATTTGATTTTGATTAAAGAAGGCGAAAATTTTGCCCTATTTGATTTTGATCAAAGAGGGCGAAATATTTTGCCTTCTTTGATATTTAACAAAGAGGGTGAAAAAATTGTATGCCCTTTGAAGCTAATAGGGCGACTTGGGGGCGATTTTAGAATCGCCCTCTTTGCCTAAGAGGGCGAAATTTGAACCTAAATTGCCCTCTTTGATATAATATCTTGTAGTGCTACTATCTCCAATATAATTGGTCTCGCCGGCCTTAAATAAAATAATCATTTTTTTTTTAAAGGCAAGAAAAATGTTATATTTATGTGATTTTTGAAATAATCTGCTCTATATATATAACCCCGAATACACCGTATTGCACGGCACAAATCATCTATACAAGAAAATTCTTAGTACAAAATTTGTAGTTGTGAATTGTGAAAGATGAGTTCATTAAGGGCAGCAGGAGGGTGTATGTTGTGTTTAGCAGGAATTTCATTTTTCATCACATTAATATTATCAATAAATTCACTTCATTATCTCGGCTCAGATTGCCCTGGTTTTCGTTTCCTCGGTATAACACTCTTCATTATCGGATTCTGTATGATGTTTATCCTCTACTGCGCGAATGTCCCTGATGATTCAAGCGATCACAATTTACCAATATCGTTATGCTTGTCTTCATTTATGTTACTTCTCCTTCTCGCCTTAGGGATATTCGCGTTGGCTGTGAGCAGCGAAGGGGGAGGAAAATCGATCCTTGGGATATCGTACAAGCAGTATTATGTAGAGTCGTACTCTAAGTGGATGCAGAATAAGGTTCATGATGCACATAATTGGGAAAAATGTTATAAGAAGGTTATTGTAAATAAAGAGCATATATGCAACAAATTTGATAAGAAATATAAGCAGGACTCTCTTGATAAATTCCACAAACGTAATTTGTTCCCTTATGAGGTGAGTACATACTTTTCTTTTTCTAAATATTTGATCTTAGAGGTGGCTTAAATTGAGGATGCCCCAATTTCTCATAGTGAGAAATCATGGGATTTTCGTAAATAAAACAATAACTTTATTTAACTTTATTCAATTGTATAGCCCACAGTAATGAAAAAGTTGTTGATTTATTCACGAAAATACCCTCATGAGAAACAAATTTTGTTTTTCAATATGAGAAATAGGAAATTCTCCGTTTAAATTTGATGATCCGCTTATAAAATCTAAATTGGATACCCATCTTTATACATATATCGAATTTTGATTATCATGGTCAAATCTATTAATAAAGTCAACTGTCTAGATGTAGTAAGCCTTCAGAAAAATAAAGTCAAAAGTGCGCATTATTGAAAATAATAAATTAAAAAAAAAAAATCGGGATATTGAACATTCTTTTGAAAATTGAAACATTTAATTTCGATGATCAACAGTCAGGTTGTTGCAAACCACCAGAAGAATGCAATTTCAAGTACACAAGTCCAACAGTTTGGGTAAAGCCGGAGAGTGGAAACTACTCCAACGTAGACTGCAACAACTGGAACAATGATCCAAAGACCTTATGCTACGATTGCCAATCATGCAAAGCTGCTCTTCTCCAAGATGTAACTTCTCATTGGTTTTTCACTGGGGTTTTTTTGGTTGTGATCATACTAGGCTTACTAGTCTTGCTCGGTATAGTTTGCTTTGTTATAGGTATCAGATCAGATCGTTCATCTGAAAATTATTCAAGGATATAAGCACATCTTTCGATCGTAATTGGCATGACTAATCCTTATGACGTTATATGTTAGTGGTGTAACGACTATTTAATAATGGGTACAATGTAATAAGAACGTGTGCTAGAGGTGTTGTGACTATGATTTAATAGTGACGGCTAGAGGTGGCCAGTGGGCCGGGTTGGACCCAGCCCACCCTAACTCGCACGGCTGGTGGGTCACGTGGGTCCGACCCGGTTTCAATCCGGCACAGCCCGGCACAGCTCGGATTTAATCCGGGTTGTGTCGTGGGTCCAAAATTTTCGACACAACCCATTTCAACCCAGCTCAGTTTAACCCGTTTGATTCGACCCAAATCGCACAACCCGTTTTGACTCATTTAATTCGACACACCTAGCCCGTGAACCCACCTAACCCGACCCACCTGGCACAACCCAGCCCGCACGGCCCACCCGCACGAATGACCCACCCAACCCGCACGAGCCAACCCACCTAACCCGCACGCATGACCCACCCAACCCGCACGCATGACCCACCCAACCCGCACGGCCGGCACAACCCGCACGGCCCGCACAACCCGCACGGCCCGCACAGCCCGCACAATTCGCACGACCCGCACGGCCCGCACGGCCTAACATCCATTTTAAAAAAAAAACGGCTAGTTTTTTGTATCTAACGACTAGTTTTTTGTATCTAACGGCTAGTTTTTTAAGTGTATGATCATCCATTCTATTTTTCCTATAAATACCAATTCCATTTCACTCAAATTTCCACACATATTCAAGCTTTCTTTCTCTCTTACTTAAAAATTCTTATTGTTCTCAAATTCTCAAGTGTTATATAGAGTTATATTTTTGTTAAAAAAATCTCCTTAATATTATTATTAGTATTCTTAAGATTCTAAAAAAAAAAAGTTCTTCTCCATATTATAATTAGTAATCATACAAAAAAAAAATGAGCTCAAGAGGAGGAATGGGAAGGAGTCAAAGTGGTGGTCGAAGTGGTAGCCAAAGGAGTGGTGGTGCAAATTTTTCGTATGAAATTAATACGGAAAATTTAAACCAATTTGTCAATGAATATGGAGATTATGGTTTAGGAGATAGGCAAAATATTCAAACGTCTCCACCACAACATTTCTCCCACGAGTCCCACCAATCATCAAGTTCAACTATGCCACCTCCATCGCAACCAACATCTCAACCTTCATCTCAAGGTAATTTCTAATTAAATTTTTATTGTTATGAATATTTAAAAAAACTATTATTAATGATTATAAAGTTAGTTTAGTTTCCAATTTTCTATGATTTACAATTAGTTAATTACCATGAAAAATGCGTTTAAATAAGTATAATTAAAATATTTAAAATTTAAAAGCTTATTTTCATGAATAGCATTTAAAAATTAATTTTAATAATTTGATTTATGAAAGGTGGTGGCGGTGAAAGTAGAGGTCGAGCACATTTTTCTTGGGTGTGGAAACATTTTGAACGAGTTGAGGTCACACCCCCGGGATGGCAACCTGGTCAACCAAAGAGGTTCACGTGTACATGCCTAGTTTGCAAGGCGCTAGGTGCAAATGTCAAGTCATATAATTGGAAAACGGGAGATGGAACCGGAACCTTGAGTCGGCATTTGCAAAATAAACACGACTTGTTCGAAAATGGCCCCCGTCCTTCGGGGGGTGGCGTCCAAACACAATTGGGTGGATACATGAACCAACCCGGCGGAGGTACACCTTTCATTTATAATAAAGATAGAATGATTGATGAAATGAGTACTTTAGTTATTGCTAATGAATACCCTTTTAGTTACGGTGAAAATGCAAACGTTGAGCATTTTAATAAAGTTGCATTACAACCTGCATTTACTCGTGTCCCCCGAAATACCCTAAGACGTTATACACAAACTTCTTATTATAAGTATAGGAGTGGTTTGATTGAATTATTTCGTACTTTTGATGGTCGTGTTAGTTTTACAAGTGATACATGGACTTCTAGTTTTGGCGAACCTTTTCTTTGCATTACTGCTCATTGGGTGGATGATGATTGGTTTATTCAAAAACGTATACTATGTTTTCAAGCTATGGAAGAAAGGCATACCGGTTTTAACATCAAAGTTCGTATTTTGGATTGTTTAAAAGAATTTCACTTGAATAATAAAGTTTTTTCTTTGTCTCTTGATAATGCAACTGCAAACACAAAGTGTATTGACTATTTGAAAAATGACTCCGAGTTGAATTTGTTGTTGGGTGGTAGTCTCTTGCATGTTAGATGTTGTGCTCATATTTTGAATTTGTCTGTTCAAGAGGGTCTCGCTGAGTTGCAACCATTGCTAAACCCAATTAGAACAGTTATAAAATGGATTAGGATTACTCAGTCAGTTAGAAGAAAGTACATAGCTATGTGTAAAGAGAGAGGTCTTAAGAAAAGACAATGGTCTATTGATACCCCTACCCGTTGGAATTCTACTTTCAAGTTGTTGAGTGATGCTATAAAGTATCGTGATATTTTGACCCAACTTTACAATGAGACTCGTGTTGATCCTACTGAGTTAATAACCGAAAGTCATTGGACTAATGCTTCTTTTGTTCGTGATGTTTTAAATGCTTTTGATAGTGCAACTCATATTTTCTCTTATATTTATGAGCCTAACGTTCATTTAGTCATAATTGAGTGTGTTAAAGTTGTTCACACCATCGAAGAGCATATGAAGATTGATGGACTTCGTCCCGTTCTTGATAGCATGAAACGTAAGTGGCATACTTATTTTAGTGAATTTCCAATCATTTATGGAATTGCTGCTATTCTTGACCCCGGTGTCAAAGCTGAAGGTTTGGAAAATCTTTTAGAATTTTATTATACAAGTTTAAGTATCGATTATGATGTTAGTGAATATATTAACAAATGCAAATCTGTTTTGGGAGACCTTTATGATCATTATGCATCTATTTATGGTTTTGATTTGGCAACACCAACTACTACTAGCACTTCCGATTCTAGATTTGGTTTTCTTGATAAAGTTATGAAAAAAAAACACAAAGCATCTACATCATTCTCATCATCATCTTCTTCAACACTTGCTATTAATGATTATTTGTCATATCAACATGAGACCAACAACAACTTTCAAATTATAAAATGGTGGCAAGAACATAAAAAAAGTTTTCCTATATTGGCGAGAATTGCAAAAGATATACTTGCAGTTCCCGCTTCATCTGTTGCTTCCGAGTCTGCTTTTAGTGCAGGTAGAAGAGTGTTAGATGAAAAAAGATCTCGCTTAACTCCGGAAAGCATTCAAATTTGTGTTTGTAAGAAAGATTGGGATCAAGCTGAAAGAAGAACTCAAGGTTTAAAGGAAGACGAAGACGATGAAGATGATCCTGTGATGATATTGGAGTCGTCAACGGATGATGCAGCTTCCGGGGATGATGATGCAACAAACATGGGTGGCTAGAAAAGTCTAAATCAGGTACGCTAAGAACTACGTGGGCTTTGATTCTTTCGGGATACGTAGGCAACTTATTTTTCGAAAATTACAATTTAATTGCAAAATTAAATTTTAGTTTTCTAAAGATAGGTCCAAGCCCCCCCCCCCCAAATTTCAAAAGAAGTACAATATAAGAACTACGCTGGCTTTGATTCCTTATTTTATAATATAAGGATACGTAGGCATCTTAATTAAGAGCAAGCCATCAAATTGTTAATTTTGTAAAAATTAAAACACCACACAACCCACCCGACCCTAACCCACGAACCCACCCGACCCTAACCCACAAACCCACCCGACCCTAACCCACCTAACCCACAAACCCACCCGACCCTAACCCACTAACCCACCCGACCCTAACCCACCTAACCCACAAACCCACCCGACCCTAACCCACTAACCCACCCTTCGACCCACCCTAACTCACTAACCCACCTTGACCCGTCTAACCCACGAACCTAGCTCGACCCACCCATGACCCGTCTAACCCACAAACCCAGCTCGACCCACCCACGATCCGTCTAACCCACAAACCCAGCTCGACCCACCCACGACTCGTCTAACCCACGAACCTAACCCTGGTGTGTCCAACTTCTCCGACCCAACCCACGACCCGGCCCACCCTACCCTACGTGTGTCGTGCCGTGTGTCATGAAACCCCAACCCGCGACCCACCTAACCCTAACCCAGCTCGCACGACTCGCACGGTGGACACCTCTAATGACGGCTCACCCTCTAAAGAATTAATCTGTATAAAATTACTCCCTAATAGATAAGTAAAGGTTTGTAGCAAATTAATTAAAGTTACAAAATTATCTTTATGCTACTTATGTGACAATATTTGTGACAAGTTTGATCATGACGCAAACTATTTACCGGGTATATGCTTCTGTATTGTTTACTTCAAGCTTCGTTTACTCATAAACAAATCATTAAAAAATTATTTTGAATTGACTTGTTAATACTTAATTATTTATTTGTTTAATTATTATTCTTTTAATTTAATTCATATATATCTAGAGTAACTAGTAGGGTCATTTAATTTTATAATTAAAATTATAATGGTTTGGTTAGGCCTTGTTTGGCAAATGACTGTTGGCGATTGGCTGTTGGCTGGTTCACTTGGCTTGTTTGACCAGCTGGAATGTTTGGTTGTTTATAATGGCTTTTGAAATTGGTTGTTTATAAAAGTGTTTGGTAAATTAATTGTTGGTTGTTGCCTGTTTATTATATAATTTGTGGGCCAACAAGCCAAAAGCCAACAAAAAAGCTACTCAAAGCATCTTTTTCATTTTGGCTTAAAAACCAGCTTTTTGCTGACTAAAAAGCCAATTACCAAATACATTTTTTTGCTGTTTGACCACCTAAAAAAGTCAAAACCCAAAAGCTAACCAAAAACCTATTAAAAAGTCAATTACCAAACATGGTCTAAGTGTGAGTAGTGTTTGTCCCACATTGAAAACAAAAAAGTAAAGGGCTTTTAGTTTATAACCCAAACAGGCTATTCTTTTCCGTCATTGTCAATTAATTTTAGGATTGGACTTCATTATGGACTCTCGGATCTATTTTCTGGGTTTTGATAGTGCCTGGGGTTTTCACTTAATTTCTTAATGAAATCTTCATATTGCTAGAATCATAATTATTCTAGTATGGTCGTATGGACTTATAGACACAGATCCAAAAATTATACTTCCTTCAGTTTGACTTTTACACTCGTGGGATTTTACTTAGCTTGTCTCGATTTATACTTTCATGATATTAAATTTTTACACATCGATAATTAAATATATTAATGATTAAAATAGTACTCCCTCCGTCTCAAAAAGAACGACCCATTTGACCAAAACTTTGTCCCAAAAAGAATGACCCATTTGCATTAAAACACCACCAATTTGCAACAATATTTGTGCAAAATTAGCTTCCCCATATAAAAATTTGATTTTCCATGTTATTTTATTACTTTCTCTCTCTATTTTTTTACAAACCACATGTAAATTTATCTTTCCAATATACTTTTACTTCTTTTTACTTAACTTCCTTAATACCCGCGTAATCGACCCAAATGGGTCGTTCTTTTTGGGACAGAGGGAGTACATTGGCAAGTGTGAAAAGAAAAGTTTTGCAAATATTAAGAAAAGAGAGAAAGTATAATAATAAAGTAAACTGTTTTCTTTTTTAAGGTTAAGAAGAACGAGTCACTTTTGGTGAGGTCAGATAAGGTCATGTCAATCTTAAATTTGAATCATATTAAATTATTGTATTCATACAAGTTGAAATCTAAATTGTGATTTGTTCTGGTTGGTTTTTGGGTCGGGCCAGCCTCCAGGCCCTCCACCCATAATGATAGGCTTCTTCTTAATCCTAATGCTACCAAGAAGCTACTAGAATGCTTCCCACCTACATATGCAATTAAGGTTATACAAAACAAAGTCAAAGCTTGTTCATAAAACCTCCCATCATTCTTGGAATTATTTAAGTCCATCTAGACTGTAGAGCCACTAAAACAATCAATAAAATCAGAGAAACACTTTTCTACTACTGAAAAAATCCACTACTTAATTAATTTTTTGGATTTGGGGAGATTATCCTAATACTTTAAACATTTCTTGTGATTGCTCTTGGTTTTTCTTTTGTTACGTTGCAACGTATTATATTAGTCCAATTAGCGTAATATCTTACTTCAGTACACATCATTTGTTTAATAATTTATAATTAAAGTATTATTTGTTGAACATTCAAAAATAGTGACACTTCACAAATGCCAATACCTTATTTTAATTTCCTACCTTACCTTACCTATAACAACGTTTCAATGCGTACACATTACAACTTTCAACTTTAAATACAAACTATCAACCTTGTTCATCAAATAGCATTAACTAGTTTCTAGTTAGCAAAAATGGTACGATCAAAAACACTAGTCAACTTAAATGGTGAACAACTATCCTTTACTTTTGTAATTTTTCTAGAGTTTTGTACATCGATTGTGGCAATATGCTCCGGAGGAAGCCTACTCTACCATCTAAGTTCCGGTTGCACGGGCTTTCGATACCTAGGGATGACATTAGTGGTGATCGGGGCTACACTTTTAATTCTCAGTTTTACAAATTTCTTATTGTATCGTAAACCTGAGATTTCCATAGCCAAGTCCATATGTTGCTCGGTGCCTTTGATCCTTGCCCTACTCGGCTTAGGGATCTTCGCGTTGGTGGTGAGCAGTAAAGGAGGAGGAAAGTCGATACCCGGGCAATCGTACAAGGAGTATCGTGTAGAGTCGTACTCTAAGTGGATGCAAAACAAGGTTGAGAAAAATTGGGATGAATACTATAAGAAGGTTGTTGTTGAGAATAAAGGACTTGTGTGCAATGCGCTTGCTGATGTATTAGGAATTGATCACGCTTTGACGGTACTATTTTTAAACTTTTTTTTTTTTTTTCCTTTCATATCGAGTTTCTAAAATTCAATTTTGCAAATGTTATATGAATGAACATGACCTATAAATTAAAAACTAGTTAGTCAGTTTATACCATTTCCAAATGTTACGGAGTAACTTTTTATAACTAGTGTGCAACAATCGGGCTAATGCGGCAATGCCTTCGGCTGCTACTTTAAATATATTGTACAATAGTAATGTTAAGCTAGATAAGCATATTTAACGTTTTCTTAAATTAATTATTTGATAATTATCTTGAATATGTCTTTTAATAAAGCACTTATTTGGTGCATCTTTTTTATTTATTTTGTTTAAAGTAGCTTGTGGGTTGCTTATATTCGGAGAATTATGTCGAATTTCTTGTATATTATGATCTAAAAATGTTTAGCAACTATTAATTGTTGTAATAGATGTAAAAAAAATATATAGACAGAATTTAAAAGAAGTGATGGTTTTTCAAAATTAAATAATTGAATAACAAATTAATTAAAGTAGGTGTTTCGGATGAAAACAATCGAATCTCGGAAGATCCTTTTATCTTGAGGGAACTTGGTCTCGGTCCGAACGACGCAGGAGCCGAGGGTTTCCTGCACAACAAATACACGTAAACTAGCCTCGGGGGGGACGCCGAGGAAGGCCCCTCCGATGCTTAAGTCAGTATATTAGAGAGAGAAAGCTGTGCAAGAGTTTAGTTGCTTGAGGCTTTATTGTCTTACCAAGAATTGACCAAATTGTTGGCTTTTATACCTTGGCTAATGAAGGAGGCGGATTGGGCCCGGAAGTCAGTTGGGCTGGGCCAAGCTGATTGGGCCGTTGACTGACCTTGACATGGCTTTGAGGATGTTGATTTTTGACTTTAGCATATTTGGAGAGTTGAACCTTAACCTTGGGCTTTTAATTGGATCATTCAGTGACCAGGCCCAATTGGACTAAATTGGACCCAAACAACTTGCCCCCCAGACCCGATTTGGAAGGATGACGGGTCGGGTTTGATTTAATCAGAAAAGGAGGGAAGTGAATGATTTGTTAATCCAAAAATGTGAATTTGAACCGTAATTAACCCATGATTAATGAGATAACAACAGTTAATGTGGATAATTGCGGAAGTTGGACGGGTAGTGGGCGATTTAACTGCAAGGTCGTGTGTTTAACGGTTACTTAGTGGGGTGCTTGAGAGAAATTGAAACGCAGACTCCTTGAATTCCCATTTCTGGAGATATAAATAGAGGCGCGTCTTCTCTCCCCACTCACTCATCAACACAAACCCAGAATTCTCAAGAACGCTCAAGAGCCCGCATCAAAACTTCGCAAATTCCCCGAGCATTAAGCTTAGAAGCTGAGACTTGTCACTACCAATTCGTAAATCGGCGGCTTTTGCTTCAGATCAAGGTAAATTCCTTTGATTTTATTTCATCTTTCTTCGACTTTGCACTCTTTCCCCTTTTTCGACTTTTTCCTTCGAAATTCGTCAATGGTGAGGGGAGTTAGAGGTGGAGCCCGTGCTCCAAGAAGAGCAAGGCTAATCCCCGATCCCAGGGACAGGATTGGGACCTGGAATGGACGAAGGACAGAGTCTGACCCTGCTGAAGGGGTTAGGGCGACTCCCATTTCTTCGGCTCCTCCTCAGAGAACGGATGAGCCGAGTGCTTCTGGACGGGACGATGAAATTCCCGCTGTCCTTTGGGATATCCTCCCTGGGTTTTCAGAGTGGGAGAATGCCGAAGTCGCTTCGGCCATGATAAAGAACCGCCCCTACTCATGGTGGGTAGAGAACGCCGATCAATATCGATTTGCCGAGCAAATTGAGTTGCACTACGGCATTTTTGAAGCTGATGGATATTGGTGCCGAATGCCCTCAGCATCCGATAGAATCCATCGTCCACCCCCGGGGTATGTGGGGGTGTACACGAGACAGCTTCAGTATGGGCTGAGGTTCCCTTTGGACGTTTTCGTCCGAGACTTGCTGATCCATTACAACATTTCCCTGTGCCAGCTGACCCCCACCAGCATCCGAAGGGTAATGACGTACTTATGGGTCTGCAAATTCTTCAGGTACGTGCCGAACCTGCATTGCTTCAGAAAGCTCCATCGGCTAGTGCCAAATATTCAGAGTGGGCACGGAAGCCATGGTTCTGGGTGGTATCGGATTGAGTCTCGGCCCCCGTTCCTAACCATGTGGCCGAACGACTCTTCAGACAAGGACTGGAGAGGTCAATGGATTTGGGTTAGGGCACCCACGGAGCCGAGCCACCCTTACGTTTTCAGCGCTCCCCGGTATCTTGCCGAGCCGGATCCTGATATGGGAAGTTTAGGTCCTCCCGAAGATAGCGGGCCAGACCCGAACCTTAATCAGCAGAACATCTTCGGCAAGCTGCCGAACCGGGGAGGCAGCGGCCGAATGCAGCATATCCCGGAGACTTGGCTCCCCGATACGCACTATGTTTTCCAAGAGAATATGCTGGCAGCTGTCGGCCTCAGCCGAAAGTTTAGGGATGGTAATCTTCTTCGGCTGGGGCCGAGGCCTTTTAATTATCTCTTTTCTTCTTTCATTTTGCTTTCTTGTGATGTGCCGAACTAACTGAATTGACTTCTCCCCTTTTCTTTTTCAGAACGGGACGAGACCAACGTCGGCATTGATTACGCTCGCCTTGGCGTCAACCGAGAACGAGTCGTAACTGATCGGGCTCCCCCTATCACTGAACCAAGGCGCCGAAAGGTTCACCTAGACTCTTCCCACTTCCAAATTGAGGCTGTTGCTCTGTATCAGAGGCAGAAGCCTTGGTGGAAGAAGAGAGATCCCTTGTTTCAGCTGCTGGAAGAAGAAGCTGAAGCTGCCCGTACAGCCGAAGAGGTTGCACGGGTTATTGAAGCTTGTGAAGGTGGAGAAGGGTCCTCCAGAGTTGCTGAAGAAGCTGCGGCTAGGGCAGCTGAAGAAGACGAGGCTTTGCTGAAGACCTCGGTGAGCCTTTAGACTTAACTTTGTCTTTCTTCTTTTTTTTTTTTTTTTTTTTTTACTCACACTCTTCTTCCCCCCTGTCTGTTACAGTCTGAAGAGAGTAACAGACACAGAGAAGGCAAAGCTCCTGTTCGTCCCGAAGATCAAATACAAGAGTCTTCAGACTCAGATATGGACGAGCAGCCTCTTCTGAAAAGGCGCCGAAGGATGGCCATCATCGGCCCTCATGACTTTCAGCAGAGGCCGATGACCATCGGCGTCGCAATAAGGGAACCTGAGGAAGGCAATGGATCGCCGAGGGTTCCCCAGCCAACACCCCAATCTCCTCAAAAGACCCCTCCGCCACCTCCTGAGATGGAGGTGGATCAGAGGACTCCCGAACCTAAGGGAGGGGTCCAAGAAGAAATCAAGGAGAGTGCTGCTGAGCACGGAAATAAAGATGCCGTGATGTCAAGTGCTGAAGGCTTCACGGCAGATATCGCAAGAGAGGTTGAGGCTTTCGTCCTCACCCCTGAAGAAGAGGAGGTCATAGTACTTGACTCCTCTGAGAAGGACGATGCTGAGACAACCAAAGCTAATCAAGCTCCATCGTCGTCCTTCCCTTCTTTCCAGACTCTGCATTCTGGAGAAATGGGTTTCTCGGCCCCCCGAATTCCAATCCCAGATCACATCTGGGACCTCATATGGGGTCAAAACCGAGAAGGAGCTGCAGCCTACTTCGGCAATTTTGCTGGCCTGTCCGAAGTAGATAGGGCAAGGATTTGGTCGCTGAAGGCCACTGCTGGGATGGGCGAATCCAGCAGATCAGTTCCTGACCCTGCCAGGTCCAACCAACTGCTGATGATGCAGGTAATTCTCCTTGCCTTGATTTCTTTCTGAACTCAACCTTTCAGCTATTATTTTTTACTTTTTTTAACTTGTGCCCCTGTTTTCAGTTCGTGCACAATCAGACTCTCACTGTAGAGCTGATTGATACCCTACAAGATAGGGTAGACGCTGCTGTGCACGAAAGGAAGGTGGCTGAAGAGGAAGTTAAGCTTGCTAAGCTGAAGCAAGCAGCAGCTGAAGAGAAGCAGCAGGAGGTTGAGGAGTACGGTAAGAAAGCTGCCGAAGCTCTGAAAACCTTCTGCGATGCTATGGAGATGGAGGTTTTTCCCCCACTGATGGAAGGGGAAAAATTCCTCCAGGAGCATATGGGAGTGGACGTCTCCAAGTTCAAGGCTGCTATCGAGAGCCGAATCCAAGGAGCTGCTGCACAGGCTGAGGTGCAGCATCAGCTAGAATCTCTTGAAGCCAGCAGAATGGCTGCTGAAGAGATGCTCCAAGCTAGGGATGTCCAACTCTCAAGGGCTGCTGCTGCTGCTGAAGCTCAAAGAGCTAAGCTACAAGAGGCTGAGGATCAGCTCACTGCCAAGAAGGAAGAAATGGTCCAAGTTCAGGCCGAGGCTTCCCAGGTTCAGCAAGAGTTTACCGAGCTGAAAGGCTCCTCCTCCAAGCTCGTCGATGAGCTGAAGAGATCCGAGGAAGACTTGGAGGAGACGAAGAAGAAGTTGGCCGATGCTGAGGCTCTACTCAAAGTCCGTATCTATACCCAAGAAGAGTATGAAATGGGTTTTAGAAACGGGTTCAGAGTGTGCCGAAGGGTCTGCCTTCATGCTGAGCCGAAGCTGGACTGGTCCAAATGTGCTGAATGGGTCCAAGATCCCGAAGACCCTCACATGAAGTATGCCACTCCAGCTGAAGCTGAAATTCTTAAGGCTGAGGAAGCCGAAGAGGAAGCTGAAAGACTGGAGTTGGAAGCTGAGCAGAGGGAAAGGGAGGCTCGGCAAAATGCAAAGCCCGCCTCTTCTGCTGCTGGGGCTGAGGCCACCATGGGACTCAACGCTGATCAGTCTGATCCCCCGGCTGAAGCATAGGAACTCGGGCAGTCGTCTTCAGAATCTTGCGGTTCATCATGTGCTTAACTTTAGACTCGCCGCTTTCTGAGTTTTTTGCCTTGTTTTTTGCTTCAGCTTGC